GATTATTATCATAATACAATCACACAACTATAAACAATTGTAAATAATATTCATGTATTTAATGACAGTGATAAATGTGTTCATTTTCTTAACAAAGTCAAAAAACAAAAGTATTGATGTTAGTATCTGGTAGTGTTAGTCAACATATCTGACCACGTATTCATTAGATGTCTCAACTTACAGCAGTCTTCATCCTTTGTGAAAATAAATCAAAATATGAATCATTGAAAACTAGTTTGGCCTAAAATTCAAGGCATTTTATGTAAATCGTTACAACAACAGATATATATCGATATGAAGAAGATTCCATAGGTATTAGTTTGTTTTCGGCAAATGATATAACTGATACAAGTTTAGATCAACTTGATCAATCATTTATGTATGAACAATTAATTAAAGAAATCCGTCTTGAACTTGAATATTATGATCAAAGTGTCTATGATCTAGTTAGTTATTGTTGTGACAGATATTCTAATAATCCAAAAGAATTGGAAAACATTCAACTGTTTCAGCAAGGATATAGTGATAAGTCACCCATATGGTGGTATACTTGTGATAGTTTCATTTATCATATGCTTAATTGGGCTCTTCGTGAACAAGAGTTTGATGCTATCATAAGAATAGCATTTTTTATTTGTAATCTACATCGACACATTGAACAAGTCTATTTGGAACAATTTAAAGAATGTCAAAAAGAATTTATCGTCTATCGTGGTCAAAGTATGACGCCAGAACAGTTCGAAAAGTTAAAAAAATCAAAAGGTGAATTAATGTCGTTCAATAGTTTCTTATCAACAAGTATAGACGAAAATGTTGGTTTAGAGTTTGCTGAAAAAGCTTTAAGTAGTGATCCCTCAGCTGCTATAAAAAAAATGAAAGCGAAATTCTATTCTCGATGCTGATTATTTTTCGTATTGGTAATATAAAACAAAGTGGCACTAACAATCGATTCTGACACGTTCATCTTATGCTAACAAGTGATAGTGATCAACAGCTCAATGTTTTAATCGAACGCATGCGAGTAGATATTCAAGGACCATCAGCATTCT